AAAGCCAGCAGGGTCAGGGCCAATCTGATCTGTGGGGGGAATGATGTTCCACAGGGCAGGTGCCACGGCAGAAAAGGCTCTCTTCTAGGATCCTGCAAGATGACACTCCCTGGCTGATGGGATCTGCAATGTGCCCCTCCTGCCACATGTCATGGGACGGGTAGATGTAATTGAGGATAGGTGGTCCCTTAAGAAACCTGGCCCTGTGCTATGTAGGGCTGTATAGGTCATTACCAGCACCTTGAATTGAACTTGGAAGCAAACTGGCAGCCAATGCAGCTCGCAAAGCAGATGTGTAACATGCAGATCCTGGAGCATGCATAACTGCCTGAGTTTGAACCAGTTGAAGCTTCTGAATACTCTTCAAGGGCAGCCTCATGTAGAGCACATTGTAGTAATCCATACAAGAGGTGACTAAAGCGTGAGCAACTGTGAGCAGGGCCTCCTGGTGCAGGAATGGGCGCAACTGGTGCACAACATGTAATTGTCCAAGGACCCTCTTGGCCAGGGCTGCCAGTTAATTCAGTTCTGCAAGAATCAAGATGTTTCACAGCATATACTTGTGAATAGTGACATTAAGAGGATTGTTATGTTTATGATTATGATTATTTACCCCTTGTGTCTAAGAAATACTATATATCTGGAAGACCCAGGACAATGCTGAAGCAGTCATTTCTAAAACTTTTTGGTCTGTTCAATTGCATATGAATTTGATTTTATTATCGAGACTTATTTCATAAAAATTAACGCTCTGACCATCTGTTAAAACAGAGTATTTGCTTATTTTGATTTTAACATCAAACTTCAACTTCAATCAAAGTAGCCTTTAAATTCTCCATTCCCAGTGATAGCTCTTTCCAAAACCCTGAACTCCCCAACGCAAAACTGAGAAAGGATAAAACATGGACATCTGCAATTAGAAATAAACATCAGCAATTCCTAATTGAAAATGAGCATGTTTTGTAAATATTGTTTCTGCTTAGAACCATACCAGGTATGGACATTATATGGGACTGGCATATACTGATACAATTTCTTTTCCTGAACTCCCAACTACTCTTCCTCTGAAAATTTTGGAAGAGGTATCATTTGTTGTAAAGCGATAGCATGTGGGAACAGTATGCTTAATTCTTTTCCCCAGGCTGATTCCTTGTTCCCACCCACTTTCCTCACATTTGAAATTTTAGGTTCATACTTGTACTGGGAGCATGTATGCGGAATCCTAACGGAGTGTATGCATGAAGGACAAAATCACTGAGCAGGAGAAGACTTTAAGCTCCTTTTCTCTTGCTTTTTCCAGTGAATTGTCTGTTTTTATTCCAATCAAGCTACCAGATCCAAGTTGGAGGAAAAATGCATTGGTGGGCAATGAACACAGAAGAGTTAAGCTCACTCTGTACAGCTTGTCTCATTCTGCAGACTGCCTTCTCCCAATGTAACTTTGTTAAACAGAAGTGGGACCTAAGTTTTCAAAAAAGAAAGGGGCATTGGAAGATGTCATCCAGGAACATAAAGCTGTGAGTTTCACTATGGCTTCAGTAGACTTTGAAATGTCATTGATAATCTTCATTTTAAACGTTCATTATTTATCTATCAAATGGCCTACAGCAACAATTCACCTCTAATAATCCTCTGCATAGGATGAATGCTAATTGAAAAGCTTTACAGATGGTAATATTAAAAATTAAATGTGATCCTCCAGATTGTTCTTTATTTTCCCCTTAGGTATGATTAAATTGTTTCTCTCATCTGCTGTCTCTCTCTCCTAGTTTGAACTTAACACAATTTTAAGCATTTATTCTTTTCAAGCACATCTAGCATATATCCCAATTAAGGAAAAGATCCAAATAAAATAGAACAGGGCCTATCTAGAGGAAGTTCTGATATATATCTGAACAAAATCAGTAGTCTATAAATGCATAATGATGTGCCTAAACTGGCAATCTTGCACATCCTTAACAGGAGCCAGATTACATGGATGATTCCACTGATTTCAGTAGCATTTGGAATCAATTTTGAGAATTCAGCTTGACAAACTCCCAAGAGGCATTGATTTTTCCTTTTCTTTACAACAACAAATTTGGTTCAAGAACCATTTAGTAGTGTGCAAGGACCCTACACTGCACTACAATTACAGCAATTGTAATTGAAATGTTATGTTCTTCAACAAGCTTAAGTATAAGTGATTATCATCATCACTGCTCAATTGAAAATTAAATCCGTGCCCAAGAGCTTCTGATATATATGCTGGACTGGTGAGAATTGTCCATCCCTATCAATCCTCTTTCTGATATGAGGGAAGTACTCATGTAACAGAAGTTCACTAGCTTTCTGAAGTGATTTCTGGGTAGCAGAAGCAAGGAGGTAGGAATCAGATGTAAAATATGGATAGAAGATCCACAGCACACATAGAAGCTCCATTTTTCCTGTAGTGAATTTCCGAAGGATGAAGGGGAGACAAAATAATTGCTTTCAAGGCACCAAAGATTAAGATATCATATATAGCCAATATCAGATGAAACTTGTTCCCCTTAGAAATTTAGAATTCATCTTTCTTTTATTCCATTACTCAAGTTCATCGTACTCCAATGCTAGATATATTTTATGATCTATGCATTTATTGTTGCCATAACAACCAACTCCTTTCTTATTCTTTTCAGTGGATTTACCCACAAGGTCCCCCACATATTGTTTTAATCCCCTTTTTGAAACATATATTTACATTCACAAATGTAGTAATTTAACTAATGTCATGTTTTTCTTTTCTTTTTCTTACTGTAATTCAGACGTGGATATGCACAGCAAGAGGTAAGATACACACTCCCTACATTTATTTTAGTAAAAAGTTCTAATTTATAGCTGTTTTCAACAGCATAGCCTGAAGAATTTAATCCACCAAATAGATTATTCACCCAATACAAAATACAACATATTATCAGTGAGAATTATGGATGTGCGTAAGTCTTCCTGAGTTTTTTAATGTAGCGCCTCTGGTTGCTCTTTCTCTTTTGTTTGCTAAATACATTCCAAACTTTTAAAGTGACTAAAATACATTATTTACTAGAATAGGAAAATAATTACGACTTAAATGCTTTCAGAAAGGCTGAACGCTAGAAGAAAGATTTGTTTTATTTTGTGCTACCCACAAATAGAGAAAACAGAGATATTATTTCTGAAAGCATGTCTTTTCTGAATTCCTGATGCTCTCTGGTCATTCTTATAAGTTGTGTGATTCACTGGCCAGTCTTGAGAAGTATGAAGGGTGGAATCAGCCCACGCTATGCTATTTTGTAATTGCAGTTTTGTATTTGGAAACAAAAACTGGACTATGAAATGCACAGAGCTTGCTTCACTTATTGATTGAAGCCTGCATCCCGTGCATGCATCTTGAAATAAGAAGTATAATTGTAAGATGTGTGTTTTATAAATACAAATCAGTGCAGAATGAATACAGAACTTGACATTAAGAAGAGAGGAAAAAAGAAAGAAAAAGGGATCTGTGGTGGCTTGAAAGATCAACACAGTTACCACAGAATATTTTGTGTACTGTATATAAAATATAAAGTTGCAAGCAGTTTATTCTGATAAGAATACTGAAAACTTTGAGGATAGAGGGAAATGGAAAATGAAGTGTAACAGTTAGGGGTGGTGACCTTATTAATGGGAGTTCTTCTAAAATAGTTGTTGGGTGACACAACCAAGACAGTTTGTCCTGCCAAAGCAAATCACTTTTGCAGTTTGTAGGGGCCTTGCTAATGCAACTTAAAACAGAGCCACAAAAGGAAGTTTAGCACACAAGCATGTTCATTTTCTGAATCTGAGGTGGCTTTGCCTTTTGGCCTTGAAGAAAAGCCACTGTGACACTGAAACTAAATGGTAGCTCTATGATAACTCTAAACAAATATCCTGTTGTTATAATGATGTAAAAATTACTTTGCAGCTCTTCAGCTTCAGTAAAAATTATTTGCCTTTTTCCATTAAATCTAATTCATAAATCTGTTTCTATTTATAATTTTTCTTTGTCAGCAACAGCAATTGCTAAGACCTTCTCTTCTCAGACCTGAGGTACCATTTTCTCCCTTATTCTAGAACTTTCAAAGCACTTTTCTTAAACCCTAGATTCTGACAGACTTTTGGGGACACATCTGTCAGTCAACAAAGGAAAAAGAAATAAAAATATAATTATTTAGATGCACTGACATCTTATTTGATGCCTTGCAATTCAGCCAACTGATTTCAGGGCTTTTCAAGTTGATATATTTTGGTAACCTGTGTTGGAGTGTCTTGTCCTTAATTCATTGTAGTCCCACATAATTGTTGTTATAAAATTTCAAACAAATTACATCTTTGCAAAGCAGGTAATTACAATATAAGTGCACAACATGCTTTATACATCGTATTTGTACGAAGCAAGAAGGAAGGGAACATGACTATACTGAAACCCAAGCCAATGAGTCAAAGCAAAGATGTGCCACCAGAGGGGTCCACAGGGTGTGGTTAAAAAAAAAAAGTCAAAATGGTGGCCATGATGGTACAATTGGAGCTTCAGTTGCATTGTTGCAGCTGCCATCTTGAACTCTTTGAATATATTCTGCAGAACCCCTTGCCACTTAGCTTAGGATCCTAGAATTGGGAGCAGTCTTAGAGTCTTCAGGTACAACCAGTGCAGGTGTGGAGAGTAAGGAAGATAACCTTGACAGATATATGCAAAAACCATTACCTAGGCAAACACGGCTGAAACATTTTTAAAGTCCAGAATAACTTAAGATTCAGAAGCGGCTCCGGCAGTTGCCTCTCTGATTCACTGGAGTACAAGAAGCAGGAGAGGGGGTGGTATAGCACAGTCAGAGTTACAAGATTCTGTTATCGTAGCCAGTCTCAATAAAAGTAGTTTTAACATTCCTGTGAGTTAATTTCCTGGTCTGGCCTACCTAGTGGGGCTGACAGCAGGATCTATTAGTTTCTCTGGCAGATGACAATCCAGTCTTTTTGTTTGTTTGTTTATTTGTTTTCAAGATCTGTAGAAAAGAACTTATAACTTCATGAAGGCAATCTCTTCCTCTGGCTGACAGCTCATACAGTCAGGCAGTTGCCCTAAATAGACATGAGAATATTGAAATGGACTTCATTGACAAGGGTCCCCTTAGATCAGTAAGGGAAGTTTGTGTACCATCTTTGAAAGAAAAAGAAGGAAGGAGAATGTTGGGAGAAGTAAAAGCCCCTTGTCCTCTTCAATACATTACTTTGTGACATTTTCCTGAAGAGTTAGTGAAAATGCTTACACATACACACACAAAGATTTAAATTGCACATACTTGATATTATGAAACCTTCAAATCCAAATGAACCTCATGATCCAGTCCCAGTTTCCCCAATTTCATGTATCTGTAGTTATATACTAGATCTCGGTATCCATGGTAACTAGTTTCAGCTATCAATGGTATTGGGTGTGTTTTGTGCATACGCATGGAATTTTGCACATGTGTAAAATACTTGTTGTACAGTATCATTATATGCAGTTGCATTATCTGCTGTTGTTCAGCCAGAACAAAAGTTCCTCCAAGAATGAGAGCCACCCGAACAGAACTGTCAATGAGTTATGAAAGGAATAAATCCTATAATGAACATATTGTTGTAATTATAATAATTCTACTATAATTTTGTAATGCCTATTATAAATAGTTTTGTTCAATTGCTGTCACAATTCTTATTGCATTTTGAACAATATTTTTAAAAAATATTTAGCAATAAAGTAAAAAGTGTTGGGCTAAGAAAGCAACATGCTAAACAAGATTGTGCATAAAGCATAGTAACAAAATACTGTTTTTTTCAGCTTTAGCATAAATGTGCGCCATCTGTCAACTGGATCTTTTTGGAATTCTAAATAGAGTTGAACACGATCCTAAAAAGCATTTAAAGGTGGCGTTGGCCTAGAATTCTACAATACTAAATGTCAATTCTGAACAGAACCACAGAACTTTAAATGTCCCTATATCTGAGCATTAAGCCATATGAAGAAAATGATCCAGAACTGTTGTTATTATTTTGATGGCCAAAATTTAACCTAAAAAGACCAAGCAACAATTATTTTTATTCCCCTGCCTTTTTGACATATTTGCTATTTACATTTAATAACATGGATTTGCATATTCCTGTTGAATTGCAGGAACTCTCAATGGAATCAGGTATCGATCCTGGCCAAGAGTATTACGGGCAAGATTACTACAGTTATGAACATGGGTATGATTCATTTTTTATTTTCAGTATGACTTCATAGATTATGAATCTCTACTGTTATTATTTATTGCAAACATATAGTGGCTGGAATCTGAAGACTCTGTCCGAGGGTATTTAGCGTTAGTTAATTTAAACAACAGACCTCTTTACCAAGCTTTCTGAATCATGAAATGCAATTGAAAGTAATTCCTATAATACACAGCATATCTGGAAGACACCAAGTTGGGCAAGATTTCCCTGTGAATAACCTAGAAGACACCAGGTTGGGAAAGATTTACCTATGGATAATATAAACTGCTTGTCAAAATCCATTATGTTAAAAATTATCACTCTGATTATATTCATTTTTTAACGCTCAAGAATGAACCCAGAAAGATAGGCCATTAAAGTTTATTACAGCCAGAGGCCAGCATCAATAAGTAGGTAGGTAACTAGGTTGGTCGATAGATTTGTGGATTGTTGTTATGTTGTTGGATCTAGTTGCATAAGAGATCTTCAACTGGTAAATCAAATAAGCAACAAAGGAATTCTTTATTAGATAGGATATAATGCACATATATTTTATTTTAGGATGGTAGTGGTATTATTTTTATATCCACATCATAGAACCTAAAGCAAAGTATGATCACCCAAAAAGTAACTTAAAATTCTTTTAAAAAATAATCTGTTCCAACATAAATATATGTTTTTCTCTGTTGATATGTTATCATGTAGGAACTCTTCCTACCCCTAACATTAGGCAGTAGAAGTAATGTTATAGCCACAAATCTGCTTATGTTTTAGCTGTGCCATAAACTGGAATTAATGGGCTGTTGTTTCTCAGGAAACAGGATGTTACTTATCTTGTTTTTTAAAACATCAGAATGCCTCCTTTTGCACATACAACTTCCTCATATAATTAAAACTGCAACAGCAACTGCAAATGTAGCTGTTAGTATCTGATTATTACCTTTTAGTTTTTGGGTTTTGTTTATATCTGCGAATGTAGAATGTGAACACATCTCTCAAGAGTAAGCCGAGGAAAAATTAGGTCTTTCATTGGGCAAGGAATGGAGAAACTGAAAGTAGTGGAATGAATGAATGAATGAATGAATGAATGAATGAATGAATGAGTGTGTGTGTGTGTGTGTGTGTGTGTGTGTGTGTAATAAAGAAGTACATTAGTATGTCCTTTAATCTACTTGTATAAAAACATGGAAGATGTCTGTACCTGGCTTTTCCCCCAGGTACGAATTGCCTCAATATGGAAGTCGGCGGCGTCTGTTGTCTCCTTCTGGCATGTATGATGAATATGGTGAAGTGGTTGTGGAGAGCGATGGTGGATATTATTATAGTCCACAGGGGACTTCGACAGAAGCAGAGGTACGTTTGTTGGTCTGATGCTATTCCAAAATTCATTTAAATTCATTGTTCTAGTAAGCAAAAGCTCTAAAAGAAGCAAATGGAAAGAAATTCAGAGAAGTTTGGTGTTTCTTGCTTGCATGCCCCTAGAAAGAGGCATGCTTACTTTCTTGAACTGTTTGAGATCATAGTGCTGGTACAGCTGCCTAAAACCAGACAGACTTCTGCCCGATATGGTTTAATTCTGTTCTTCCTCAGCAGCCTGCCAGCCCCCACCCCCATCCCCCACTGATCTCATCCCATATTCATTAGGAATGCTCTTGTCTTCTTTTTCCAGAAAATCTTTTCTGGGACAAGACAAAGTTATCCAGAGAAATGCAAAATCGCAAAATGCAAAAATGCAACTGAAGGGGGAATCTTCTCCAGAAACTTCTCCTTCCATTCATTTAGCTTAGGATCCATATCACTATCAGTGTTTGGATTTTTGCCAATCAAAAAATTTAGGGAAAAAAAATAGAAAACCACAATCAATATATTTATAAATAAGGGCCTCAAACTACCACATTAATGAAGTCAGAATTAAAGTGCAACATAGACTTTTGAAAAGTTCAAATAAATACAAGTGGATTCTTTAGTGCTTATAATACTATAAAGTGAATGCAGGAATTCTAATCAGCAGACCTTGAAACCATCATTCATTTTATATTTCTTAAGTGGATAATCTATCATTATATCCTGCCTTTGGAATAATAACCAACTGACATTATCTCAAGGCCAAGGATTAGTTCATTTATTATTTCTGTAGTAACATTTTTCCCCTCTAAGCATTATAGAAGCCTAGCTGCATCTAGTAGCATGACTGAAGTGGCATGTTAATAAATGCAACTGTTACTTTTAAATAAATAAATACCTCTTCTCTACCCCTGAACTTCATACCATATTAGTAACAGTACTTCCCCTTGCTATATGCAGGATGTCTAGTATTAGTAGGGTGAATACTCAACAGTCAATAACTCATGGGGAGTATTGTATGTGACAGTTTCATTCTGCTAACCACCTATACCATGTTAATAGTTATATATATAGTTATAAATTTTAATTATGTATTTATTGTTTTAACTTGATGTAAACCGCCCAGAGTCCCTCACTGAGGGGAGATGGGTGGGGATAAGTCTATGTATAAATAAAAATAAAAATAATAAATAAATATAGGCCTAAACCCAGGATTTTTTTGAATATGGTTTTGACATCTCCTGTTCTTGTTCAGATCTGTAGTACCCTCTAGTGGTCAGACTAATAATCTAAAATGTTTATCAGAATAAAATAAAATTCAAGTTTTTCAGCTAATGAGTGGATATCTAAAATCTTTTTCTATTTTGTAAAATATCAGGGTGATATGAGATTTATAATTAAAGGGGAATGATCTCTGCTAATCCCCCATATGTATGCTCTTTCCCGTTACAAGTCACACAAAATGCCCAAAAGCTGGATTTTCTTTTAGGAAAATAGTTATTACCAATATTCCTTGAATACACAGCTCTTCAGGGTTTTTTAAAAAAAATAATCATGCTTATTGAGGCAAATGTTAATTGCCACCGAGAAAATTTAACAAATGCTGCATGGACATTCTAAATTCAAGCTGCCTGTGATGCTGTAAGATTATGGTCTACATATTTATTTTGGTTCTAGATAAGAGCTGGATATTAATTGCTCCATTTTTTCATACCCTGTATAGTCTATGGTATCAAGTTTCGTTCCAGAAAGTTTTCCAAAATCGTGCTGAAGTCATATGTAAATTCCACTTATATAATTAACAGGGAACAAGTCAAGTTGGAAGAACTGTAACCCAGAAGCCAGGATCTCAATTAGCTCTTAGTACTATAGGTAAAAAGAAGACTGTAAGAGAAGGTCCAAGCCAGGGAAGAAGGAAACTAAGAGCAGTGATGCAGCTGAGCCGAATAGCAGTTAGTGCTCACCGGCCAGCAGCAACTGAAACAGCACCATCCCCGTGGAAAAAAGCAAAGATATTTCCAATGATGCTACAAAAAGGAAGAGGCAAAGATTCAGATTATGCCAAGTTGATGGCAGCACACCAACTGGATGGAGAAGACAGTATGGTTATTAAGGGAAGCTATTTCCAGAAATCAGCAGATGATGTACCGTCTTCAAAGAAGCTTGCCCATGCATTGAAATGTGCTAGTGTTTTGAAGAAAAGTCAGGAGCATGGTACCTCTCAGGAAGTAAGTGAATCTGAATCTAAGTCAGGAATCTCAATTAGTGTCACAGCAGAAAGCGAATCTGAATCTGATTATGGAAAAAAGAAAGAAAGAACATCATCTTCTATGACTGATAAGTCAACATCCTCCTCTTCTTCCTCTTCATCAGAAAGTAGTTCTTCAGCATCTCAAACAGATAAAGATTATTTGAAAGTTACACTAGGCCAAGATGAAACTACTGAAAGCACGGTGGACTCTGATGAAGAACATTCAGATTCATCTGGATCCACATCAAGCTCAGAAGATGAAACAACCAATTCTCAGAGCAAAGTTTCTGATACTGTGGAAGATGATACAGAGTCAAAAATCTCATCATCAGTGCAAAGTTCCATCAGCAGTGAAATTACTCCAAAGGCAAGGAGAAACAAAGACTCTGGGTCCAGTTTCAAAAAACATTCTAGAGCTGGAAGTGAGTTAGATGATGCAATAGCTGAAATATCTGAAGATACTGAAGAATCACCTTCAGCTGTAGAAGAGGAGGAAGAAAAAGAAGAGAAAGGAGGAGAAGAGGAGGAGGAGGAGGAGGAGGAGACTGGCTCCAGTGAGAAGCCAGCTCTAAATGCATCTAGAAG